TCTCTTCATTATCTTGCAATTTCAATTATCATTGCAATACTACTCCGTTCGCTGCTAACCATGCTGCTAGTTGACTCTATGATCAACTTTCATTTTAATCTTGACTTGTCATGAAACTGCCATGCCGTTTTGTCAGTTTCATTCGTAGGCTTCAGAAACACAGGACAATACACTTATTGCAAAGTAATTTATTGGACACACGACGACAGTGTCGCATGACAAAACGTTCAAGGTTCGAATCCCCTTCGACACTCATTTCGCAGTCACCACCCGCCTGGGACCGCCCTTGACGGCCGGCACCCCGCACCGGTCACCTAACACCGCCCCTGCGACTCCGACGCGGAGCCGGAGGCGGCGGCGGCGGGCACCCACCGGGTGACCTTGGTCGGTGCGAGCCACCCGTCGACTCAAACACACCCTCAACCGGTCCGACAGCGCGGCCTTGGCAGCAGGCGGCGTGTTTATCGCGCCATGCTCGTCTGGATGTGGATCAGACTGTCATGACACATTCCTCCGCAGAGGGAGGATCATAGCCGTCTGCAAAACCAGCCACAGGGGCTCTTCCGCCTTGCATCGATCAAATTGAGATGTCTCGAAACCCTGCTTTTGTCCCGAGCGACTTTTTGCTTTTTTAAAAAACTTTTTGACGTATTTCTAACAATAAAGCTTTATAAGCAAGCTTAGTTTTGTGTTCTTCTATCATGTCTATACGGATGGGGAACTGCCAATAGAGGCGTGCATGAAGGCAATAATAGCGCAGTTTAAATTTTCTCTGACAAACGATTTAGCACGACAAGGCTAAATTTGCTTGCTGTTAGTTGTCTCCCTTGATTTTTCATCGTTGACATTTGTCCAGAAGCGCGTCAATGCATGCACAAAATAGCGGGGAGGGGCACGCACCTCTAGCGCCCCTTTAGTACGCCTCAAGCTGTTAAGTTAGCTGTTAAGCTATTAAGAGGCCCACTTCGCAAGTAACGGAAAGGCGATGGCGCCCCTCCAACTGATGCCGATGTAACACCCCTGCGTTTTCAATGTGATCGAGCCATCATGTTACACCTGTATGACAGCATGGACCTAGTTTTCGGGTCACACCCGCGTGCATATGGAGTGTGTTATCACGTCCCACCCAACCGCATTGTGACTAAATTGTCGTGCCACATCCGCCCGCACATGGACCCGGTCTTCCTGTTGCACACACTCGTCTCCCCTTCTGTTATCTCGTCACGTCTGTGTGGATCGAGTTATCGTGTCACATCCGTTCACCTTTCGACCGAGTGATCGCGTCACCCCTAACTTCACACGAGTGAAGTCATTATGTCACTCTTGTCTGTAGTGTCAGTGACCCGTCACGTCACGCTCGGCTGCGTGTGATCGTGTTGTCACGTCACGTCTGCGGCAGTTGCGGTTGGACTGCGTTATGCTGCAGTTAGATCTGCAATTACAGTTTGATCTGGAATTGCCGTTGGATCTGCGTTATCACGGCTGGCATCCATAAGTTTGATCGATACATTGCCTCACATCCGTCTAAGGTAGGCCGATTTATCTGCTGTGATTGGTGTTGATGACATTGCATCTGTCTATTCATGAAACCGGTTTTGACGGTGCACTCGTCTACGTTCGGCTTGTTATCACGACATATATTCGATTCTGTGCGAGGCTTGCTCTCGCCTTAGTGTCTTCATGATGCAGTCCATGCTTTTGACGTATTATTGCTAACAAGCTGAACGTATTGACCGCATATTACGACGCATACATGTGAATCATAGTTGCCTTACATACGTCGTCCACGTTACGGGCCGTGGTTGTCACCTGTTACGCATTATTCCGTCCATATTCAAACATCTCATCCTTACAGCAGTTCATGAATCGTCACGAAACTGCTCTCCCAGAAACTGGAGAGGGCCGCCCCCATCGGAAGGTCAGTCGAGCGCCGCTTCACAAACAGGAAGCATCTTACATGCCTGGCACGTCTTCTGAGTGTTGGACCCGCTCACAGAGTTTACCCGGCGTACACTGGCCACGTCATTCCAGACAGGGCCCAGTGAGAAGCGAGGAGGGTTGGCGAGGGGGCTGCTCGCGGGCTGCTGAGCTCCGCGCTCTTCACACAGCTGCGTGTGGGGGGCGCAAGCGAAATCGACCCCGCCTCCAACGGGGTGATTTGGTCGGCCGTCAGGTGTCTGCCTTGGCGCCGGTCGCCGGCCGTTCTGCGTCGTGCGGCAGTGGGACGGCGCGGCGCCGCGTCGGTCGCGTCGCGTCGCGTCGCTCCCGACCGATGTTATGTAACCGGGACGCATGACGAGGTCATGTGCTCCGCCCGAACAGCGGAAGGGGAACCGGGGGGGGGGGGGGGGGGGGGGGGGCACGTACGTACTACGCCGCAGCCCCGAATCGCGGTCACGGCGCATCGGTGTGGCTTTGGCAAGGCAGCGGGGTGGGATTGTGTGCCAAGGTGCCGCGGATAGCCGCACGGCCTCAGAGAACGAGACTGGGCTGAGTCATGCTACACAACGGCACATTATATCCCACAGACGAAGAGTGTGGGTAGTTGCCATGAAGCCTAGCATGAATGTATATCCTAGCATGCCTTAATTTATCTGTTTCAAGGCCAATATATATTTAGTAACGTAACACCTACTTACGATTTCATAGGGTATGCTAGTTGCGTTCTAGCTAGCTAGACTGTTCTAAATATGCTCGCTTTAATTTACTTATGAATTCTTCCGTTGATTTCGATATTTTGTAACGGCCGAGTTTTTGAGCGAGCGTCAAATGCTCTCTTTTTCTTCCCACCCGGCTGATGTTGCTAAGGTGTGTCTGTCCAATTCCATGCGTGCCCCAGGCTCGGCAGCACTTTCTCAGCAGACTGTCCACCACCGCCAATGTCCGGGACCATCTGCCACGTGGCGCGCACGTCGGCGGTCGCAGTTTTCCGGCGCCGAGCCAAGGTCGAGCCGATTTGGCCAGCCTCGGGAGCCGGGCGGCAGTGTCGTTGTACGCGTCAATGGCGACCGGTAACAGGCAGCGACCAATGACACGAGGGCGACGCAGACGTCCGCGGTTTCCCTGAGATAAACACATGCCAGCGGCCGGAGCGCCGCCGAGAAGTGGCGACAGAAGAGCTGAAGATAGCTTATTGGCGTTGTTTGGTCTCAGCCCGCTGTGATGAATGCGCCTTGGCACTAAGACGGCTGATATTGTTCTGCGCTGGTTCGCTCAGTGCTGGCGTATTAGCAGAGTCAGGTGACATTTCCAGAAGTAGAAAGCAGAACGCCGTCCGCGAAGAGAGAAGCACTGAAGAAGATAGGTAATGTGATGGCGCGCCTAAAAGAGATTTGCAATATCTTCCTCTAGTCAGCTCTACCAATCAGAATAGGCGAAAATGGCTAAATGCATCTGCAAAACTGCTGCAACGGTGAACGAGCGCTCACAATAGATGATGAATTGTCCAGTACCGTAAGAGAACGCTCTTAATTGGTCACGGCCCAACACTTTTCCACGGAGCACACCAACAATGAGATCAAGCGGAACCTCTAGTCTACAGCAATACCATGGTGACATCCAGATAAAGTCTGGCGTAACTCCAGTGGTGTGCCCCCTGCCCGCTCTGTGCATGTGGTGCCAGTGGGCGAGCGAATCCCCTCATGCCTGGACTTCTAGCCCCAGATAGCCAGACCATATCGACAGGCTCGACTGCAGAACTCTGTAGGCCGGGCCGGCTGGAACACTCCCGCGAGCGCCGCCTTGAGCCACCTATCTCATGTGAACATTCGAAAACCTTTTCTGTGTGATCAGAGATTTCCAAGTCAGCGTAGCCGTCCCACGACTTCATCGGATTCATGTCTGTGTTGGCATGGCCATGTCGTCACTGGGTTCGTCGGTTAATAATAGTTTCATGTTTTTAGCCCAACCTATATACGCACACAATACCTTTACGTTTATGCTGACTTTTTGTCCTTCGACTTTTTCCGGTCATACTTTTATTCTCTTTGGCTTTTATGTTTCTACTTCCTTCGTTTGACCTTTTTCGTTTAATTTTTTTAAATCAGTTTTTTCCATTCCACTTTTTGTGCGGGTACCCGTGATGGATTATTATTGCATTATGGATTATGAATTATAGTGTAGATTATGTGTTGGGGTATTATGCATGATGATTGTGGATTAGTTCTTTCTTACAATGGCTATGTCATTGTAAGAAAGAACTGGGATGAATTGGAGGCGTGCATGAAATCCATTTGTGCACATGTGTAAACATGTCACCTTAAGTTCGAGTGATAAATGACATGCACGTAGGTTGGTACATAGATGCTGCCATGCATAAAAGGTCAGCGATATGTCAACTGCACGGAAAATGTCACACGTGGAAAACTTTGCACTAATACAGTGATCTTGCTTTCCAACAGGCGTTTAACACATTTCAGAGCGTGAAGAACTGGACCTGTGCTTAATACCAACCAGCTTATTAAGGCAGGTTGGATGCCGGTTCTGTGTGTTCTGCCGTCCTGGACTGAAAGAGTCGGAATCGACCCCAGAATCTGTAACAATGTTATCAAGAACAGGTCTGAATTGAACGGTGGCAATAGGATGTGAATGCAGCATTTGGCGCTTGAGACACGAATATATCTCGAATCGTAATATTCTACAAGACGGTTTTTCTATCTAAATGCGTTGATGTAAAACCGAACGAACGGCCTTTTCGCCAGCCTGCGATGCAGATGTCGGCTGATCAGCTGATGTCTGATGGTGTTCAGAGTGCAATAAGTTTGCTTGAAATTCTCCTCAAAGGAATGCAATTGAGGCATCTCGTTTAATAGTGTTGGAAATTGTCTTGATTTATTCGAGTGTAAGTTATATGACACGTCAATATAGGCTGTGTTTTGTAGCATTTGACAAAAATTTTAAACAAGACAAGTGTTGAAATTTTATTTAACTGCCTCGAAGCTATTCGAAATGTTTACATTCCTCGCTCTTCTGCTGCGTGCCGGGCTGTTCGCGTTGGGGTGAGTGGCGGTGGTCTGGTCCGGGTGAGGTCTTCACGCGCATCCTTCCTCGACAAGTAAGACGTCCCATGCTGTTACACTTGCATTCAAGCCCAACAAAATTTATCAGTTTTTGTGGTCATATTTGCATGGGGTATAAACCTTTACTAGGCTGCACCGAAGTGTTCGTGAATCCTGCATTTCGCGTCGTTTTCGTCGATTCATCCTGCACCCTAGCTTCGCTTAGGATGAATGAGTGAGATAGTGCTTATTTAGCGAAATGAAGCACGTGCTATGTATGAAGTCCTACCATATTCATATTCCAAACACAGGACTAACTACATGTTGATTTAGACAGGACATGCAGTGTGCGGGGATTGTTGGAAAGTAAGGTCATTTTAGGTAGAAATGGTTTTGACTTCCAAAAAGATACACACTTGTTTTCATCTATGGTAGGAAGTGCTAGAGATTATCTTCAACCAACACCTCACAAATGGTACACTGGATTATCATTTCACTGATGCATGTGCAGATAATGTAACATAAATATTATGGATTCTAAACCAAGTTTTACTGTATTGATGCACTACATTTAGTAATGCTTAACACCTGTTGTCAGCCTTTTCGTCCTCAAGCATGCTTACTGTCATTATGGACTAGCATTGGCTCCATATGCAAGGCAACTCCATGCCTCTATATGCAGTCACTGCCTTAATTTAACAGGCTGTTGCTCTAAACTCATGTCTTGTGTAGCTGATACTGAAGCCCAAAATTTGTGATGTTCATACAGAATTTAGAGTTGGAGTGGTTACCTGTCTTAAGGAACAAATGAAGCTATCAGAATTATATGCCATAACTCAACTTTTGTTTAATGCAGCACACACTTTTATTATCAAATATGTAAGATAGTAGTGATAGCCTTATTCATTGGAGAAAAAGCAGGATAATGGAGATATGGATGGATTGATGTCTTGGCAACATACCTTTATCAAAACAATAACAAGTCTTCAGCAGAAGTGTTTATAACAGACACATGCCCTTCTATTATGAGTCTTCTGCAGAAGTCTTCTGCTGTTGTTTTGATAAGGAATGTTGCTGAAATATCAGCCCATCTATATCTCCATTTTCCTGGTTTTGCTCTGGGCAACAAGGCTGTTGCTACTGTTTTATCCATGTGAATAATCTTCCTCACTAATGTACTGGACAACTTTATTATGAAATGCTAAAATCCACTCTTTTTGTGATGAAGGGAAAATGCAAGTATTGCTGTGGTGCAAATTGTTGCTGATATAACAGAGGACAGCCTGCAGTGTTTCCTACAGAGAAGAGTGTTGCTCCTTGATGTGTTAATTGCTTAAGGTATGCAAATTGTGTTTGCTGCAAATCATACCATTGCCAAACTTAATATCTTGATGACAATTTAGCAGTAAGCAAGGCTAAAAATTAGAGATATGATTTGATAATATATTCACTGTAAAACATCACTTGGCATTGCTTCTAGGACTTGACATGATATCTACAATATAAAAGCTGCCTAACACTGGCTATATTTTAGACAAAAATACACACTGATCATGCACACCTTTCCCCTTCCAGCTTGCTGATTACACACATGCACACAAATGCACATGCACACACTGCACATGCACATGCACATGCACCACACCCACACCCACACCCCCAACCCACACCCACACCCACACCCACACCCACACCCACACCCACACCCACACCCCACACCACCACCCACACCCACACCCACACCCCACACCCACACCCACCCACACACACACACACATGCTCGCACATTCACACACACACAGTTATAAGATTTGACACAAATGCAGTCTACCTCAGCAGTTTTGAAGCGCCAAAATTATATTGGAGTCTTGCTGCACAGCACAATTTTGCAATGCTTCGTGGTCCAAAACTGATGGTGATTGCAGTCTGTGCAGTGCTTGTATGTGCTTTCTCTGCAACAGCTATTTAATTTTGACCTCCGGACCAGACTCTTGTCTCCATATTGCTCATAGTCTGATGATTGATGCATAATATGCAAGCTCATAGGCATGTGCCCTTTATGAAGCTGGTTTTTTGGTTGTGCTTTTAGCCACTAAACCAGGAGATAGTTGACAATCTGAAATCCCAAATCAAGAGTTTCTCCACTTTTCCAAATTATTTAAATTGGTGATGGGGTGCTGCAGCCAGTATGCACCACAGATGGCATGGATTTTTGCCTTATATCCTGGTGGTTGCATACAACTTGTGACTGGTTCATCGGCTTTTATTTGCCGATGTTACTGGTGTCACGGACGAAACTAACGTGTCTCCATCCCTCTATACCATCGGATCGCCGAGCATCACCATCCACGCCCACTCATCCTCGCTGTGTTGCTCCTGCCTAGGTCCTCCCTGAACCCGCCATGTTTCCGGAGGAGCAGCAAGCGATAGAAGGCACTGAGGTGCAGGAGGTCAGCGACGATGACGAGTTCTTCCTGGACGTCGACGTGCTGCAGAACCACGGCATCAACGCCGCCGACATCAAGAAGCTCAAGTGCGCTGGCGTGTGCACGCTCAAGGGCATTCAGATGGCCACCAAGAAGAAGCTGTGTGCCATCAAGGGGCTGAGTGAGGCCAAAGTGGACAAGGTGAAGGAGGCGTGCTGCAAGCTGCTGAGCGACGGCTTCGTCACGGCTCTGGAGTTCAGCGACCGGCGCAAATGCGTGTTCCGCATCTCGACCGGCAGCCAGGAGCTGGACAAGCTGATGGGCGGCGGCCTCGAGTCGATGGCAATCACCGAGGCGTTTGGCGAGTTCCGCACGGGCAAGACGCAGCTGTCGCACACGTTGTGCGTGACGGCACAGCTGCCCGGGGAGAACGGCTACACGGGCGGCAAAGTCATCTTCATCGACACGGAGAACACGTTCCGGCCGGACCGGCTGCGGCCCATCGCCGACCGCTTCAACCTCGACCACAGCGCCATGCTGGACAACGTGCTGTACGCGCGCGCCTACACCAGCGAGCACCAGTACGAGCTGATGGACATGGTGGCGGCCAAGCTGCACGAGGAGGCCGGCGTGTTTAAACTGCTGATCGTGGACAGCATCATGGCGCTGTTCCGCGTCGACTTCAGCGGCCGTGGCGAACTGGCTGACCGCCAGCAGAAGCTGGCGCAGATGCTGTCGCGCCTGCAGAAGATCTCGGAGGAGTACAACGTTGCCGTGTTCCTTACCAACCAGATGACGGCCGACCCGGGCGCGGCGCTGTCGTTCCAGGCTGATCCCAAGAAGCCGGTGGGCGGCCACATTCTGGCGCACGCCTCCACCACGCGGCTGTCGCTGCGCAAGGGACGCGGCGAGGTGCGCATCGCCAAGATCTACGACAGCCCCGACCTACCGGAGTCGGAAGCCACGTTCGCCATCACCACGGGCGGCGTGGCCGACGCCAAGGAGTAGCGCGCGGCGACGGCCGCCGAGGCGTCCCCCGGCGTCGGTCGGTGCGACTCTCGTGCGGTGCGACGCTCAGACGGGTTTGCGCGAAGGGCCTCTGAAGCGTTGGGCGACGGTGGGATGAGCGATGCTGTAGAAAGGCAGGCACGTGAGCTTAACGGCAGCTCATTCATCTCAGTGTATGCTATCTGGGAGCATACAAGTGCTTCAGATGTGTGCCTTCGATACTGACGGCGCCAGTTCGAGAGACTGTGTGCTGATGAAATGATGGTGTGATAAAGAGCCATTGATCAGTGAGTGCAACTGAGGGTTTTTCGCGTTTTGGGGATTATCGTGTAATTTTACGCAGCGACTCATCCACACAACGCCAGAGCTGTGCAATTCATTGTTAATGGGAGTGATGACTTGTTTTACTATTCATTGTCTTGTCATGTTTATTCCTACCACTTTGTTTCTGTCAGTCGTGCCGTGGACATGTACCTTATGCGAGACATTTGCATTCATTCAGCCGCCTGTTCGTTGTAGTGTTTGATCATTCTTGTGAAAACCACGATACATATGTGCGCCGCATACTTTGTGATGTTTGTCTTCACCGGCCTGCTTGGCTGGATGTTTCTACATTCGGGCAGAATGCAGGCGATTTAGGAGGCCTCCTGCAGCTCAGTGCCCGTGTTCGCCAAGTGCGGCGTTTTGCGCGACTTGTGTTTACCTCGGGTTTCACCATGATAGCGTTACTAAAATCAGGTCAGCTTGTGTCCACTACCCAGATGAAAAGGAAGGCTCTGTCTTACAACGCATCGACTCGTGAAAACAAAACTGCTCCCACGGATTGCCAGGCACGCAACGCGCCTTGGATCGGACCGTATTGCAAATAAGCCACAGCGAGTACCTGTCTTTTTCCACCTGCCACGAGTGGTCGCCGCCTGTAGTCTCCTGACGTACAGCTGTATGGGGTGTGTAGCCGTCACGGGCGTCACGAGCACGCACCATTGCCACTTCACCATCCTCGCCTGCGCTGAGCCCGCCGACTGCCGCCGAAGCTAGGCCCTCCGGTTCGCATCAGGCGGCCCTTGAACGATTCTGGGTATGTTCTGAGACACATGAGCACAACCAGGCGGGGGAGGGAGAACCAGTACCGGCTGACAGTCTACACAGCGACAGCAAGGGTTTCAGATGGCACCTGACAGGCGTGAAGCAGTGTCTAAGTGCCCTACAGGACCGGCTTACGTCATGTGGTGGGGAGATGGCTAACATGTGTCAGGAAAGACGGCTGTCATCACGTGACCTGTAAGAGTGATCCGTGCAGCAGAGGCCGTGTCCGTTACAGATATGGCCACCGTCACGTGACGGGCCACCATGCGGAAGGTGCTGTCCCGGCTGGCCAAGGTGGGCCGCAGCTCCGACCAGGCGGGCCCGCCGCCGGCGACGCCACCGGCCGACCCGGCCAGCGCAGACCCAGAGCCGCAGCACCGGCCAGCGGCCTATGACGTGAGCGGCAGCGGTGATGGGGACGGGCGGACGCGGTCAATCTTGCGGTCACGGTCTGAAGAGCCCGACAACGGCTCAGCCCCTTCCCTTCTGGAATTGGGGCTGGGGTTCGGGCCTAGTTGTCAGCGCATGGGAGGGGGCCAGCTTACTGTCTTCGATACTGGTGTGGAGTCAGCTCTCGATGCCTACTTGCTTGCCACTGTTGTTCGTTGAACCTATGTGGCTGGTGTATTACAGGTGTATTACAGGTCCAGAATGTAATAGAAAGTCGAAAGTTTTATTATGGTGAAAGCTGGAATTAAATATATATTTGGTAAAATTGGCTAGAAAGCTGAGCATGCTGGGTTTCGACTTGGTAATTATTATTTTACAGCTGAGAAGTAGGTGGTTCAATGTGTTTACCTCAACTCATTTTTTACCAGTCAACGATTAGCTGACTTCTCCTTCAGCTGGGCGGCCGGGAGCGCTCTCTCTCCGGCTTGCAGCGGACCGCCTGTGAGTGGGACGTGCGTACGCCTGTCCCCGCCCCTGCCCGTCTGACCGGCGTGTCTTCCCCGTCAGCTGGAGGGCCGGGAACGCTCCCTCTCTGGCCTGCAGCGGGCCGTCTGGCAGGGCGATTTGGAGCGCGTGCGCTCGCTGACGGCCAAGTCGGCGGCGGGGCTGCAGGCGCGGGACCGCGAGGGCCGCACGCTGCTGCACCTAGCCGCCGCCAGGGGGCACAGCCAGATGGCGGAGCTGCTGCTGGGCCGCGGCCTGTCTCTGGATGCGTCGGACAACCAGGGCTGCACGCCGCTGCTCAAGGTGCGCCCCCCCCCCCCCTCACACTCTGTGCGAGGCTGCTGACTGGGCAGCCACGTCCGGAGGCTGCTGATTGGGCAGTCACGTCCAGATGCTGCCACAGGGCTCCAATGCCCTGGGATTGGGCAATAGCGATGAGTCCGCGGCGGCGCTGTTAGAGGTCGACTGCTGGGATTGGAGCCCGATGCCAGGTGTGGTCAGATCTTCATCCGACTGTGTCATTGCCGGCGATTAACCTGACCCGACCTGACCTGACCTGTCGCGGCAGTCGATGGGTGCTAAGCATTGGTGCGCAACACCGACACGCGGCCTTGCCTTGGCGGCACCTGACGTGGATCACGATTGTCAGGCGGTGGAGGCAGACAGCACGGCCACCGCCCGGCTGCTGCTGGAGCGGGGCGCCAACGCCAGCCACGTGAACCACAAGCAGGCCAACGGGCTGCACGTGAGCGTGCGCCACGGCTCTGACCGGATACTGGAGCTGCTGCTTCAGCATGGCACCAACGTCGACCAAATCAGCGAGGTCAGCAGCCAGTCGGGCCGCTCAGGGGCGCAGGGGCGACGCAGGGTCCTGCAGCGGCTGGGACTGTGGAGGTGGCCTAAGGGAGACCGCTGAAGGTCCATAGGAATAGCCCAGAGTGCGATAGTGTCTGGAGGGATTCCACTCACTGAGGACCCTCAGGGGCAGCTCTGCACGTAATGTTGGCTGAGACATCCGGTGCTGCCTGGGGTTGATGAGGACCAAATACGTCATGGCCGATCCTGGGTACTGTCAGTTACTTTTCCCGTGACGTTTACCCCCATGAAGACTGGTGGTAAGTCCATGTCATTGCGATTGGCTCCGATTTGTTTCGGGTCGCACCCTCAATGGCGTCGTTTGTACACACCATTCTTTCCCGGATCCCGTGCACACATGCTTACACCGCATTCCATTTTAAGTCATGTTTCCTGGAACTCTGTTTCCTTTCGAGCCGTGCACACGCGAGCGTCCAGTACGGTGTATGAGTGTAGTCGGCCGAGCCAAGTGTCGGAGCCTGCCCCAGTGTCGGGGCGGGTCCCAGTACCGCCGACATGTCGTGTGGCGGCAGGACGGCCACACGCCGCTGCACCTGGCCATCCTGCACGACCGCGGTGACCAGGCGGCGGCGCTGCTGAGGCACGGCGCCGCCCTGACGGCCGTCGACCGGGCCGGCTGCACGGCCCTCCACCTGGCGGCCGGCCGCGGCCAGGCCGACCTGGTGGCCGAGCTGCTCGAGAGCGGCGCCGACCCGGCCGCCACCGACGACACAGGTGCGAACGGCAGCGGCCGCCGGCGGGGGTCCGTGACAGGAGCAGGGGGGGGGGGGGGGACGGGCAGACGCGGCGAGCGACGCTCAGGGGCGGCGCAGGGAGAGTAGCCAAGGTCGAGACAGCTGGGGCACTGGGAGAGGTGGATGGTGATGACGCGAAGGGACGGAATCAACAGTTCTGCACCAGTCCGCAAGGTGGTGTTGTTAGCTTCCTTGTCACCGACATTTACTGCCGCTTCAGTCTTAGTACTATTCAAGCCGTGAGGGAGGGCTCCTACCACGGGTGACCACGTCAGACGACGCCAGATATCTCGCAAACGCCCCGTTTTCCGTCGGTGGTGAACTGCTCACCGCCTGGGACCGTCTATGCGAATCTAGCCCGACCTCTGCCTGGCCTGCGCTCTGTCTCGGTCTGACTCGGTCTCGGTATGACTCAGTCTCAGTGTCGACCTCGTGGCGCCGGTCTACCTCGGTCTCGGTCAGTCTCAGTGTCACTCTGCTGACGCCGGTGCGCGCCCGGCCCAGGTCGGACGGCGGCCGAGCTGGCGGCGGCCGAGGGCTTCGCCAGCGTGCAGAGCCTGATCCGGCGCCTCAGCCGGCGGCACCGCAGCCTCAGTCAGATGTTCAGCGTCGAGGAGCTGCAGCCGGAGCCGCCAGCCGACGCCGAGCACACACACCAGGTGACAGGCCCCCTGCCCCCCATCCCCCGACACAGCTCCGCTGACAGGCACGGATATTGCATGCCGCAATGTTTGTTTCGTTTGTGGGCCCCATGCGATTTTCCAATTGTGCTCGCTCGACTCATTGTCTCAGGGCTGATCTGATTGACTACGTTTTTGTCTTTATGTGGGCTTCGCGACCTTGTAACTTGGTTGAATGGGCTTGGCAATTCTTTGGTGTGATTGGTCCTGCTGGTGATTTTAGGCCACGGACCGTGAGGGCATTAGCGGTTCCACATCCAAATTACACGCCACGACTGTGCTGAGCAGTACTTAAACTCAATCGCACCGGTAGTTGCATGAATGTCGATAAAACAATTCGTTTGTAAAAAACTGTTTTCTTAAAAAAAACTGCTCCCAACGTCACCCGCACCCTGTTTTGGCCGTGCTGACCATCGCCGTGCATCGGCGTCGTGCCTTGACCATCTGCTCTCGTGCGTGATCGGCAGCGTATGGACTCGGTCTCATCGACCGGTGCGCCGTCGCTGCGCCACCAGTCCTCGATCTCCTCTGCCGGCGCTCCGACACCGCGTCACCCCTCCCCGGCCGCCGCTCCCGACGCCGCCAAGGACGACTCTGACTCTTGGAGTGACGATGGGGAGCTGATGTTCGCGCCGCCGGCCCGCAAGGTCAGTAGAGAGTGTCGGACCGGCTCTGCAGTGTCGCTGCTGGCTCTGGCAGCGGTGACGATGGCCGGCGGCGAGTGCGAGGACATGCTGCTAGTCTGCGGAATACGTCTGAGAAATTCCTTGCTATGCCAGTCAGTTTCCAGTGCAATACTGGTCACTCGATGATGCAAAAATTTCTTTAGGTTAGGTGTGCCGATGCCCATTTTCACGAGTATTTTGTCGTGAAATGACACGATTCACGTTAAAATACATTCCGCACAGATATGTTGTTTTAGTTTCCGCCTGGGCACGTCAGCTCAGACCGCTGTGTGGGCGCGTGCTGCAGCCGTCCGTGCCGCTGCCGGCCTGCTTCCTGTCTGACGGAGCTGCGGAGCGGACCGTCAGCGACGGCGACTGCAGTGAAGTCAGCGGCGTCAGGCGCCTCCCCCCAGACGGCGCCGGGTCCGACTTCGAACACAGCAGCGGCGCCGGCTGGGACGCCGCTGCGGGCCGGCGGGGTACCAGGCGGCGGCCGGACCGGACGCCAAGCCGGGGGCGGGGCTCGCCCGGCCCCGGCGACGGTGGCGCCGCCAGCGGTAGCGGCTCCGAGTCCGAGTTGTCCCCGAGGCACGGCGCGGCGACGCGCAGCGCTGTGTCAGAGCGGCGGCCGGCCACAGCGCAGGCCGCGGCCTCGGAGAACAGCTGGAGTGAGAACAGCGGACCGCCGTCTCAGCCGGGCGCAGCGGCAGCCGCCGGCGAGCGGACTCCAAAGCAGCCCGCCTGGGACGTCAGCCCGATCTCTCGCGGTCCCGCTGCTGGCGCGGCAGAGGCGGCGTCGGCGCAGGACGGCCGTGCTGCAGACGGCAGTCCAGTGGCGGCGGGCTGCGCTGAGTCTGCCGAGCCGGGCGATGTCGACGGTGACGACAGCTGGGGGGACGTCAGTCCGGTGCTGCCCCGGTCAGGTGCCAAGCCTGCGCCAGTTACACGTGACCCCGCAGGGGGGCCGGTGGCCGAGTTTGCGGACGCTGACTCGGCGGAGAGTGACAGCTGGGGTGACGAGGTTAGTCCTGTTCTGCCGGGCTCGCCGGTCGCGTCCGCCGCGGGCGCGGCAGCAGCCATGAAGAACAGCTGGGGAGGTGTCAGTTCTGGTAGCAGTGATGTTCATCCGTCTGGTGTGAAGGGAGGAGCCACCGACAGCACACTCGCTCGCCAGGAATCTCCTGTCGAATGTATGGCCGCGGAGGTGGCTGACGACGATGACAGCTGGGGAGACGTTAGCCCGGTGTTGCCCCGGTCGCCCGTCGCCGCCGCTGAACCGCTGGGACATGGAGGCAAGCGGCACACAAAGACCGTCGCGAGGCCGCCGCCAGCCGAGGCGGGAGACAGCTGGGGAGACATCAGTCCAGTGCTGGCCCGGTCGCCTATCAGCTCGGTCGGGGAGGGGCGACCTGGTCCCGGCGGAGGCTGGGGCGATCAAGGCGCGACTCTGGATCGACCGAGTCAAACTACCGCGACAGGGTCGAAGAGCAGGCAGCCAGCCGGACCACTTCCGGCGAGCCCCCGTGCGGCCGGACTCGTGACGAGCCCGAGGCCGGCGCCTCGTTCCCAATCTCCGACGCCCCGCACTCACTCGGCTGGTGGGAAGTCCGAGTCCGAATCACTGGACTTCTCCGAGGACGCGGACCTACTCGGGGACCTGAACTCGCGCCGGGACCCGGCCGAGCAGCCGGGCAGCGGGAGTCGGGCTGGGAGGCCTGGCGCGGCGGCTGGACAACCTGCCGTCGGTAGGGGCCTTGGTAACGCCGACCGTGAAAAGTCCGGACGGCAGTCCAGCCCAACGGGACTGAAGCCGGGCTGCCCAGAGCGAGGCTCGGCGGATAACAGCTTGAGTGACGCATCTCTTTCCAGCCCAGTCCAGTCGGAGAAACTCAACAGGCGCGGCCAGCTGCAAACGTCAGGCGTCGAAAGAGGGACAGGGAAGACAGGCGTCGAAATCGGCGGAGAAACCGTCCGCGCGATGCAAAGCGCCGATGAAGATAGCTGGAGCGATCCCGAGTGTAGCACAAACAACAATCGCACGTGCAAACCTGAAGACAGCAGCGTTTTTGCACCTGCCGAAAATGTCGCAGACAAACGTAGAACGAGCGTGATCCTTTCTGCAGCGGCGTGTGCGCAAGCGGCAGCGGGCCTTTCTGAAGACAGCGGATGCAGTGACTTCTCACCGAAGTTCGACATGGTGTCCATTCCATCGGCCCATTCTGGGAGCGTCTCCGGGCTGGAGACCGTGGGCGTGACCGACAACCGTGCCGGGGAGTCGGAGGCGGCCGACAGCTGGAGCGACAGTGAGCAGTCAGTGACCGTGGCCCGTCCGCTGCCCGGCGAACCTGTCGCGCCCGAACAACACCCGTCTGTGGAACCGACAGGTACGGTCCAGCCGTTGGCCTTGGAGTCTGTAGATGTGGTCCAGCCGCTGTCCGTCGAGTCGGTAGGCACATCGCAGCCAGCGTCTATGAAGTCGACTGACCCCGCCCAGCCCCTGTCTGTGCAGTCCGTGGAGACGGTGTCAGGGTCGCCGCCAGCCGCGCCCCCGGTGGGCGCCGTACCGTCTGTCAGCGCCGGGCCGACCGCGCAGATCTGGCCGCGGCCCGAGGAGCCGGCGCCGGGTGTGCCGCCTCCGCCGCCGCCGCACCTGACCCGCGAGCCGACGCTGCCACCCCTCCGCCGCATCGTCAGCTGGTGCGCGGACGGGTCTCCGGCCCCGCCGGCCGCCGCCGAGACCAGCGACGGCTTGGACGACAGCTCGTCGGCAGCCGACGACGGCGCGGCGTCGGCCCGGCTGGACGCGCCGCCGGCGCGCGCAGCCTCGCCGCCAGCGTCCGACGACTCCTGGGACGACTCTTCGTCGGCCGGCGGCGGGGCCGGCTGGACTCCCGAGCGGCCGGGGTCACCGCGGCACGAGGAGGCCGCGCCGGATCCGCCGGTCCGCCAGAAGAGCGTCATGATCCGTTCGCCGGCGCATTCGTCGGGGACGTCCGCCTCCGAGAGCGGCGCAGTATCTCAGAGCCAGACGCAGGTGAGGGGCCTCCGTGGCCGACAGAAGTTGAACAGCCATGGATGAAGGCGGGTACAGATTTCAGGCGCATGGCAGACGTTTATACGCTGTTATGTACGGATGCACGATCATCTCTCCCGTTTGGAATGTGATCTTAAAGCTTGAGCTGTTAGATTTTCGTTGCGGTCAGTTTTCAAATAACCACAGGTAGATTATGGACGACAATGTGTCTACCTTGCGTCATGCTTTACGTCTTGGGTAAGTGGGCACGGTCGTGACGCGTTTTTTGTGCTTGTCGGTAAGGTCATCCATCTGGATATTCTTAATCAGAGCTCGGTTGCCCCCCTCCCCCTCTGACGTTCGTTCCTGCGCCGCCGTGTGACCGGCAGTGCTCGACCAGCCTGGCCGGCACCCTGGGCCGCGAGGGAACACTCCAGGGCTGCGAAGAGCTCTGGGCGCAGAACGACACCGTCCCGGCCAGCCAGTGGCCGGCCTCCGGGCCGGGCCGGCGCCGCGTCTCGGTCAACCTACCGCTTTTGGACACCGAGCCGGACTGGTCAAGCTCGCTCCCCAGCGCCGGCCGCCGGCGCGCCTCGGTCGCCTCGGTCGGCTCGCTGGGCCAGCGCGCCGATCTGCGCGAGCGCACGGCCAGCACCCTTCATTCGCTGAAGCGGGCGGTGCTGGCGCCGCTGCGTACCATGCGGCGCCGCTCGCGCTCGCACACCCCACACGAGCTGCCCCAGTTCCGGCGCCACTCGGTCTCGCTCGACTCGTTCCTGAGCGTGCGCAGCGCACCAGAGCCAGCGGCCGGCGCCGAGCTCGACGCGGACGACCAGCTGGAGGACATGTACCGTCCGGAGGCGCAGCTGACGCCGGAGGTGGCGGCGGCGGCGGTGGCCGCGCCACTGCCACCGCCGCGCGGCCGACGCCGCTCGCGCTCGGCGGACGTGGCGCCGCCGCCTCCGGCGTCGGCGTCGGCGGCCGAGCGCCGCCCTCTGCGTGTCAGCATCAGCTCGCTGGCCGATATCGCCGAGGGGGACGGCTCGGAGGAGGAGGAGGCGGCCACAGAGAGGCGGCGCGCGCGCGCGCCCGCCCGCCGGCTCTCGCTGGACGTGGGCGCACTCCGGCTGACCAGGAGCCGCCGCCAGGCTGTCGTGTCGCCCACGTCCGACGGCTCCAGCGACGAGGACCGAGACGACAGGTCAGTCAGTGCCGGCGCGTTGGCAGCTCTGTAGGCCGCCTCTCGATGCAGGGTAGTGTGGGCGGTACATGCAGGTGGCCGGTTTGGCGGCGCCCGGCGGGCGGATCCGGTGAGGAGGCGGGGAGGGAGGTATGACAGGTCAGTGCCGGCGCGGTGGCAGCTCTGTATGTCGCCTCAGTGCAGGGTAGTATGGGCGGTGCAGGCGGGTGGCCGGAGTTGGTGGCGTCAGTTGGACGGCTCCGGTGGGGAGGTGGAGAGGCGGGGAGGGGGTGTGACAGGTCAGTGCTGGCGCGTTGGCAGCTCTGTAGGTCGCCTCAGTGCAGGGTAGTATGGGCGGTGCAGGCGGATGGCCGGGGTGGGTGGCGCCAGGCGGTGGGTGGGTGGCGCCATTCCCACCTGGTATATTGGAAGTAGGATATTTTCACCACAAAAACTCAATGCAGAATTTTTACAATTCAGAGAGAAAACGAAAAGAAAAAGTTAGCAAAAGAAAAGTAGCAAATGCCGACGAGCGTGCTGCGATACTTTTTACGTATTTCACTGACTGGCATTTTGGTAAGGCATTGCAATAGTCCCTCTTACGCATAATTTCCTCTGCTCTGTCCAAGTAGTCAAAGGTTGCAGTTGTGCCGATGTCTTATTAAACCACGCCATGGCTGTGCTGTTTCGCTGGTGTGCATTTTTTCCCCCACAAATTCGTATCGCGCTGCAGAATCTTTGAAAGAATGAGTCGGGCATATTGCATCTGACATTCCTCTTGGGCCTAGGCCTGCTAGACCCAAGCAAAGACAGGTGAACATCAGCCAGTCGCAATACGACTTCCTATTTCAAAGCTACGTGTCGCATTATGCTTACGTTATCGGTACGCCTTTGGCTTGTCAGCGGACTCAATACCCCACTGTGGTACCGATTACGTCGACAGCCATACCAGCTCCGGCTTGTTGACGTTCTCAACCGGCTACTGGTTCGAGTAGGGTATGTACATTGTGGTCGTGCCTCTGAAAATTTTCGCTAAATGTACATGGATACTTGTTTCTGATAAAGCACTGCTATCCGTTACATTGTGGGGAGTATGAGTTGAAACGGCCGTTTCTTATGCCGCGATGACTAAAGGCTATTATCGTTATGGCTGTATACCCCATTACATCTCTCCTGGGTGGCGAGCCTCCTCCTTCGGCCTCGCTGCATTTGATCAGACGTTCAGATGTCAAATTCTCGGCCAACGTCGTACCATGGAAAATTTTTGTACGCCAGGCAGCGGAGGAAGTTTGGACGCATGCGTCTGTTAGTGGCCTCGGAGACTATGCTTAGCGATCGCCTTCGATGTGATGGATATACTGACCATGCCTCCCAGGATGCTCCGCTTCTAATTTATTTTCGCATTTATAGCGCGGGACAGGACGCGACCAACCAAACGGTTTTCTGAGGACCTCCCACAGTGATAGTGGCTTTCAGCGACTGCAGCTTAACGACGTGATCTGCTCAGTCGTTGACGATTTGTCCGCATTTGTGTACAACGATGCGCTTCAGAGGCACGCCTTGAGATGTGCCCAGGGCCTCGATCTGAAAACGGAACGAGCGGCTGTCAGCGAGTCGTGCAACAGGCTGATAGCTATCGTGGTTATAGAACATCTGATGTCCAGAGGAGCTGGCGCTGAACACGTTCTCGCCTGCTTTGTTCCTCGGTTCAGTCACCAAGCCCGCAGAGCGCCTTCCGAGCGTGAGATCAAACACCTCGGTTACATGCCATTCGCTTCTGCCGAACGTTCTCATCTCTCTGGCTGCGTGGCTCTCGAGCCGCGCATGAGCCCCCCCCCCTCCCCGCCACACACACACACACACACACACACACACACACACACACACACACACACACACACACACACGCACGCACGCACGCACGCACGCACGCACGCACGCACGCACGCACGCACGCACGCACGCACGCACGCACGCACGCACGCACGCACGCACGCACGCACGCACGCACGCACGCACGCACAGACGGACGCCTCGGCGCCGGCGCTACTGACCTTTCTGAGCACCTGCAGTCCGTCTGTGACAAGACCGAACGCCACGTTCTTGCCGTCCAGCCAGGTGATCTTGGCGGCGCAGATGAAGAACTGCGTGCCGTTGGTGTTGGGCCCGTTGTTCACCATGGACACAACGCCTGCGGCACGAACCGTCGTGAACACGGACTCATCAGCAGGGGAGCTGACACACGGGGGAGCGCGAAACACCCGTCACCGTCTGGCCAGCAGACGGAGCAGAGCACAGACGGCTCGGGTGCCAGTGGAGAGAGCGGCGATGAGCACGTGCGCACCTGGCTCGCTGTGGTTCATCTCGAAGCTCTCGTCCTCAAACAGCCGGTCGTAGATGGAGAGCGGCGCCTGCCTGTTGCGGCCGCCGAATGTGACGTCACCGCCTTGGCAGACGAAGCGCGGGATCACCCGGTGGAACAGCGTGCCCTGCGGAAGGGGAGGGGGATGGGTCAGTGGTGGGAGACCGCCGCACACCGGCGCGCTGGTGCTGTCAGCGACGGCCGGCACGCGGCTGGTGCGCAACACGCTCATCCTTGATTAGCATCAGATCATCAGATCATATCAGATCAGAGCACTCTCATGACATTATCGTTCTCTGGACGCGTCGGTCACATGGCACTCTGATTGTGTTTCGAATTGAGAAGGAATTTGAACTATTGTAAAATGCCTATCCAATTGACCTATCCAATCAAGCATTCATGCTTCCTTATGACGCTTTCACGCCGGACATGCCGCTTTCTGAACTCTAAGATCTTGGCAAACACCAGTTGCAGGTTTATACAATTTCCGACATCAGGAGACCAGTTATTGAAACGTGATACATTAGTCAGTGAGTATTCGCTCGCGACCTCTGATCAGACGAGCATTTCCTTCAAGATTGCAATATCTCTGATTTCACATGACCCGTTGTATTATTAGCACAGAAAGGACACAATTTTCAAAAAGAGAAAAACAAAATTGAAGACCACGGGACGAAATTGGGTTGATATTTGGATGATCTGGCGTCGCAGCGATACAGGACAAGCGCATTCTGGCGGAGGAGAACACGGCAAACGGTATATACAGCAATGTGAGTCGACGCGTGCTCCCGATCGCGCGGTTGCGTGCAAACCGTAGGTCCACCTGTTACGGAGCGTTTGTAAGGACTGGGTCAGCGTTTTCCATTACCAACATCTGTCCACAAGTTGTAACCTATGAGGTCAGAGGTAGGTGCGCCACAACAGCTACGGGTGGGAGGATAGTCACTTATGTATGACGGAGGCACTTGCGACGTCATTGGTAGCAGCTTGAGTAATTAATTTTGGTGTCAGATCTCAACAACTCGAGCAGATGAAGACGTGAAGCAAACTGCTCGTTGTAGGCAAGCGCACCGGCTGTAACTGGCTGGAGGATCTGAAAACTGTCCAGCCCATGGGATAGGCAGTGGTGAACCCGGCAGCGGTTCTAACTACGCAGGTGTGTAGACCTTTTATTTGACAATATTCACTCCGAATTTTCATGTTTTTGCAGTGATTCGGTTACGTTTGCAAGGCCGTAAATCATTGCAAACCCATCGGTGTCCGCGATTAGAATCGCCAAGCCTGACTACACTTGTAGCCCGCCATTGGCAATCATTATTCGTGGATAGGCGCGGGAATGCCGCAAGAGTGTGCCGCCGCCTGTTAGATTTTAATGAAAGCAGACTTTCCAGCACACTGATAGTGCTATTGACATCGACTGCCAAGGATGTGGGGCTTCACTGGCTTAGCTTTTGGCGGTATGGACATACCCAACAGCTGGGAACTCTCCCGTCTATTTTTGGCCTCGCTCGTCCCGCGCCGTACATGACGTATTGCTTGTGGTAAACTACTGAATTCAAGATGCGCATTGCACCGTAACGTGGCTAACATATGCTCCTCTTGGCTGATAAAGTACTTTGAACCTGACTCAGCGTATTCAAGAGGCATGTCACGTTTTAACGCAGCGTAAGCATTGCAGGCTGCTGTAGGCTATTTTGATGTCAATTTCGTTGGGGTTTTCGACGTCATTCATGAGATCTGTTTGAAATATATTCATTTGGTGACGAACTATTCGTTGAGAAAATTTGACCAAGGAAGAAGATACTGGTAGATCTGCATTAATTGCAAGACAGATGAGCAGAAGTTCACCAAACAAGTTGTGGTGCAACCGTGCCCTGTTAACCCATTCTCTCCAAGCAACATCGCATACCCGACGTTAATCTCAAGTCATGTTGGGAATGGAGCTGCATCACCCTAAAACGACCAGGTCCCACCCTTGGAAAGCTTTGCCTGCTGTTAAGAAACAGTTATCCCCGCTTTGCGGTTTGAGCAAAAGACTACGTCTGAACTCAGCATGAAGACTCGAGCCGACAACAGCGTCGCGATGTTGGCTGGATGCCGGACACTGCCTACGGCAGCTGGCGGCGCCGACGCTCACCTTGTAGCCGAAGCCGTACTCGCCGGTGCAGAGCGAGCGGAAGTTCTCGACGGTGCGCGGCGCCAGGTCGGCCCGCAGCAAGATGGTCAGCCGACCCAGCTGGCGGCCGTCCGCCTCAATGTCCATGAACGCGCTGCGGGCAGGCGACGTGCCGGGGCAGCCGTCAGGGGGGCTTCAGGAGAGGTGGACGGGGGGCGTGCCGGGATAGCCGTCAGCGGGAGTTACAGCAGAGGTGGACGGGTGGCGTGCCGGGACAGCCGTCGGCGGGAGTTGCAGCAGAGGTGGACGGGTTGCGTGCCGGGACAGCCGTCGGCGGGAGTTACAGCAGAGGTGGACGGGTTGCGTGCCGGGACAGCCGTCAGCGGCGGTTACAGAGCGAAACACGACACGGCACGCGCTACACCGCGTACAAGTGCCAAAAGGAAAAAGTCGCAATTGATGGTTCGCCTGAAAAAACGAGAATCAAGAACTGTGGTTTAAATGCAGGCTACTTGCTAGCAACAGTCGGCCCCATTTGAGATAGTTGGCGTTTTGTATCAGTCTCCCTTCTTTGTTTTAGGATGACAAATTCCATTTCACCAGACCAGTGTATCGTTAAAAAATCTACACCTAGAACCTGGATGTAAGTGAGCATTTGATGTGCTGCTACGACGTAGCCTACCTGCCGCTGTTTACCCTGTCCCGCGGCCCGACTCACAAAGGGTTGGCGGAGAGCGGCGAGGGCGTGCGCACGATGTTGCAGCTGCGGCAGGCAGCGCCGCGCATGGCGCGCTGGTACAGCTCGCCGGGCGCCTGGCGCCAGGTCGGCCGCACCGCGCGCACCTGGTTGTCGGCCTGCTCGCTGTAGCGGCGGCGTGGCGTGGCCAGAGCGTCGATCCTCGTCAGCAGGTGGCGGTGGCGGCGGCCGCTGCGGGCGGCGCCGCTCGCCGGCGACGGACTCTGGCTCGGGCTGGCCACCGGCGACGAGTCGGGGCTGGCGTCGATGACGGCCGTCACTCGGTGGATGACGCGCCGCACCCGCTCGGTCCGGTTCTTCGGCGACTGGTCGCTGGTGCACATGACGCAGCTGTCCTGCAGGGGCGTCTTTGGCATCGAGCTGGCGCCGGGCGTGGTGATGATGTTGGCCGCGTTGCCGCGCGACAGGTGACCGGCCGGCTCCTTGACCTTGCCGCGGGCGCGCACCGCCCGCCGCCGCGGCGGCTCCGGCGGCCGCTGGCGCGTCGACGCCTTGCCGCGGCTGCCGGGCCGCAGCGCCGACGACAGCGGCACCGGCGTCGAAATGGTCACCCTGCGGCCCTCCTGGGCGGAGCGCGGGCTGCGCTGGCTGCGGGGCGTCCCGGACGCCGCCCGACGCGCCGCCGGTGCATTGCGTGGCTTTGGCGAGCTTGGCTTTGGCGGGCTTGGCTTTGGCGGTGCCTGGTTACGGGCTGGGGACGGCCCGCGCGCGGGAGATGTGTTTCGCGGCGGCGATGGTTTGCGCGCTGGCGACAGGTTGCGGCGCACCGTTTCGTTGGTAACGCGGACCGCCGGCGACGGCGAGCGGGCGCGGTTTCGTATTGGGAGCACCTTGGTCTCGCTTTTGACGGGTTGGCGGAGCCCGGCCCGCGCCAGGGCCGGGTCAGAGCTGGTGCCGACATTCTTCTGCGGCACACTCAGCTTGGCCACTCGCTGGTTGGCCGGTCGGCTGCCGCCCCATAGAATGGCGTGTTCGCTCTTGGAGCGACCGTACTGTTCCTGACCTTGATCTGGTACGCCTTTGGCTCTGGTGTGTTGGGATGCCGACTTTCGGGCAGCATGGGGGGCTCCGGTTTCGCTCTGCGTTTGATGGAGTGTTTGCGTGCTTCTCTCAGCAAGCTCGACATACCGAATCTGAGGGTTCTTTGGCTTCCTCTTGAAAAATATTTTGACAGCTTGGGAATTTTCTGAGCAAGAGGCCCTCTTGTCATGATGATCAGTTAGTTTATTTATCTTTTTCTTTCGCTCCGTCGTCTCTACTTCAGTGTCAGAATGGTTTTCCCTCGATGTATCTGTTCGTGGACTTTTACTGCCTTGCGTCCTGAACTTTGCGTCCGGTTTATTTTCGCTTTCCGGCTTCACTTCCTCACCGGCGCTTGTCGTCGTGCTTACCTTTAATAAACCCTTCCTTTCCTTTTCTGCCCTCGCCCCATCTGTTTTTGTCTTGGATTCTTTTTCGGTTTTTCTCGATGATTTTTTCGAACTCCTCTGCATTTCTGATGTCATATGATCATCGGGATTCACTGAAAGCATTCTGTGTTGTGCGTTTTTACGCTTAGATGTTTTTTCATGCTGGCTGCTTGAATCGGTTGATTTAGCACATTGTCCCTGACTTTCGGCAGTCGATTCCTGCGCTGGTAAATCCGACCTTTGTTTGCGACCAAGTTTCTTGTGCCCACCCGAGGTCTCCTGTATGCTGGACTCCGGATCAGTTTGACCATCTTTGCTGGTATCATTAGCGGATGTCATTTTACTTTGTTCTGACTCCATGGCTTCCTGAAATTCTTGGGCGTCGCGCATGGCTTTCTGCCTAGCCTGCACCGTATACTGGTTGAGCGCAATGGGTATTTTCTCATTATTGATGGTCACGTATGGCGCGACCTGTCGCGGCGAGGCTTGTGTCTCTCTGGCGGTGACCCAGAAGTCGCCGGCCGCTTCCGTGGGCCTCGTCAGACACAGTTCTGGCACGCTGCCGCCCATGGCGCCGGCTGACCTGTCCACCGGTCTGACGGCCTCCCGCAGCCTGCTTACCTCTGGTAACCGAGTGCCGACACCTGCAGCCCGCGCCGGGTCAGAGAGACGCACCGCCACCCACTTCTTGTAGGGGTCCTCCATGCCGTTTGCGCCGGATGTAAGGTCAGTCAGCGAGCGCTCAAGCTCCTCTACCTGCTCGAGAAGCTGTGAACTGGAGAGAGCTGGTTTGTCGTCTGGCCTCGAAGCTGACGGCTGACCCAGAACCTTGCTGGCGGACCGCTCCAGCTCTGCTAGAACGTGGTTCAGTTCTTCAGCAGATATTATTCGTTTGAGCTGCGTTGCGGACTGCTGCTGTCGGCATGCCTTCCAGTCCTTCAAGCTCTCTGAATCCTAAAATGACATATTAATCAGAGGCTTATCTCGTATCTGTCAGATTATTGACAATGTGTCTTGCTTGCATATTATCAGGATGAGTTAGTTTCCGCTACTCAGCTGGCGGATTAGAACTATGTAAAACTATTGTGCAGCTCGTCTGTGGCCCCTATCGTGAAGGTGCAGTATGTGATATTGAATAATGCAAGCGGCGTGTACAACCGCGTTTCGAAGAAATGGTGATTGCCACCCATGGCAGCAAAGTCATGTGTATGGGCGTCTCGAAGCCGTATTATTTTATTCCATAGAATGCGAGTGTTACAACACTTGGATTCTCCACCGATCAGCCTGGCTTGGGCACCAAGCTAAGCCGTTTGTTACTGTAATTATGTGTATTATGTCGTTATTTTATTGCGTCAGTCGCAACTATGGTATATTTTATTTATGCTTATTGTATCGTTATTTTATGTTTGGCTTACCGGAACTGTCACCAGTGAAGGTTTGGCGGCGCCGTGGGAGTCAATGCCCATCACTCTTCGTTTTTGTAGCAACCTCTTGACAAGAATTTGATAGGCTTTTGGGGGATCTGTGTTGACCACAGGTCGTATGTTCAGTAGCTGTGGATGAGACATAACATTACATTGCATTGTAGATGCATTATGGTCGACCTACGCGAGGTGCTGGTATGCCCTGATGCGTCAGTCTAAATATAACACTGAATGTACCATTCATATTGCGGAGAGATATACTTGATGCACAAATTTTGTATTTCTATTCGCGTTTGATTCCAATGCAGACAGTGTATGCTAAAAAATGGCATGGAAATCTGGCTGCATTGTGTACTTTAAGTTGACATGGGCTGCTAATACTTACCCGATCGCGGTGAATGTCGTACCGATTATATTCCTGTCTTTTGCCCCACTTCTTCCCTTTGTAGATTGTGTGCGAACTTTGAAACAGGTTTGGAAAAAAGCCCATGGATACTCCTGACAAAATGGTTTAAGCACCTCACGTATGACTCCGCATGTGCCTGCTTTGGTTTTGAGACAGTCATTGCCACATGGCCTCATGATTTAGCCCCGGCGCATGCACTACGTGCTAAGTAAGTATAAAACAGTGACCCAAACATGTATAATTTAGAATGTGGCACATTATGCTTACTATGGAACGTCTTTGTAGGGCAATCACAATTTTCACAGCTGGAACTTCGTGCAAGAGTTGAACCTTAAATATTTCCTCGTGCGTTCGTTGTGTGCAACTCTTACGGTACGGTGAAGACACGGTTGTGTGTGCCATAGTATTTCAGCCTTGTCCATCTTTTTTTAAACCGGTCCGAACTCCGAACTCTGGCCACGTGGCCTTAATGTAGCAGATGCGGATATAGTGATCGGCGTTAGAGGATGCTGGATGGCTTTCCTGACGATGACTCGCCTTCGACAGACCTGATGCTTATATATGAACGCGGCGTCTGAAGCGACGTTGACACAACTGTGAAACATGCAGGCCGATTTGCCTGAAATTTTCTTCGGGGCTAATCCATTGAATGCCCATTTACTCAGAGTTTCTCTCCATAGCCCTTCGTGATTTCCTTGGTTTGCTAATTCGCGGAGCATTCAATACGTTTCCGAAATAAAAAAGAGAAGACATCCCAATGACCTCTCGATGTCGGTGAGCTGCAGTTTTTTTGACATAACCATCGTCATGTTGAAATCAGTTGGTGCCTCGCATGTGATCAAAACGTCGCTGTATGTGGGTTCTGTCTTTAATATTTCGATAATGTCATATTTTAGAGAGTACTTGTCATAAAGGCTCATCTATCACTGAACGGACCTGATGTATTAGAATTCCATGTAGGCATGAATATACTGTAGCCGCAACGTTTCATATTTTCCACCCGCCGTGGTGTCTTTTGGCTTGCGTGCACTCTTGAAGCTCATTACTTACCAAACATAGCAGGGCTTGTCTTGTAGTGTGAGAGCCAGAGTCGCATGCATAAGTCACAAATTATTTCAATGAGGATATGTCAGACAACGAAAATGTCGACTTTTCCAAAACATGTTGCCCGTGATGTGTTATCAGACCCGTGAGGACCGCTTACATACCATTATGGAACCTAAGTGTACGATATTTCCAGTGTTGATATGCGGCCAAGAATGCCATTTTCATGCATGATAAAACGCAATTTTCCACTTCATTTGGGAGCCATTATTGCCCCCGCAAATTGGTTTCTGTTTTGCCGACTCTACGATAGCAAGGTCGTGATACGATTGCATATCAGCCTTTGCCTGCGCAAGTCCACTTGCAGAGGGCAAAGGCGTTCCACCAAGTGCTGAAGCCAAAACTCTGGCTCACATTTTTTTAGCGACCCGAGGTAGTGAAACTATGTGATAACATCTGTTTGCCGTGCGTTTGCCGTGCCAAAATACACGTTACCTGTGCGCCGACTGGGGCGCTGGAGCGAACTTTTTCAAGTTGGCACTTTATCAAAAGCAAAGGCATGAAGGTTCAGCCATCGCAGAGCGCGTTGAGCATATCTGTACCTTATGCTCCCATGGGCCATCCCACATTTATCGACAACTCGACGGGTTTTGACCACGCGGAGCGCTCATGCAGTCCAATTTTTACGTTATGCTTATTCGTGGTTAGTGTGGGTCGCACCATCCGCTGCTGTTGAAAACATGGCGTAGCTTACTTATGAAAAGCCGCAGTCGACGAGAGTTTGCTGCTACGACGGGGATTATGTGCAATAATGTTAACATTCACGGAAAGTACTGTACGGCATGACTGATGCGTAGTTCAAAGCAAGCTTTATAGATTGAGCTGCTCACAAGTTCATCCTAGGCCAGTCAGAAATGGATACGAAATGAGATGAAAGTCCGATGTTTCTCGTAGAAATTCGGCACCTTGGCACCAAACGTGGATGGGCCTAATGTTACTAAGTGCGTAGCTTTGTGTGCCTTGTGCTATTTCAGATTTGTCGATATCTCCAAGGCAAGAGTGAAGTCAGGCTCAGCTTGCTTGGGGGCGTTAAATGGTACCATCTGATCAATGTTTCAAGAAACAAGTGGGTCAGAAGGGTCAGCCACAGCTGTGCACTGCCATAGCCGCGCCGTCCGCTCAGGGGGCGTGTTCTTCGGCAACGTGAACCTTCCCGGACTTTTGGCACTGTAACTTATACTTGCAGAGCGGGCGCGTTTGTTTCGAAGGTGGTGTGTCTCATGTAGCCGAAATTTTCGTTCAAGGGGGAGGCACGTGTCAAATTTTACTGAGTACTCCCACGAGTTTGGGCCGTATTCCTGTGAGATTGGCCAGTGTCTAATGTAAGCCTCTTGGCTCAGAGGGGACATGGCCTCTGCGGCTGCTGTTTGGTCACATCCCTGTTCCCAGGCACGGCAAGCCTCACTGGAAGGCAGGTGCAACGTCTGGCGAGAAATCATAAACGTGAATAGTTTTGTTTTCAGAAACCAAGAAGGGAGCTCAACGGATCGACAAGAGGAAGACGTTTTCGACCGTACTGCGAAGGAGCTGGGCCTGTTTTCCGAGTTAGACGGTATGTTATGGTGTGGCAAATCAGTTATGCGACTGAAAGCAATATTATCAATCCATGCCTCCTCATTTCTGCCATCGTCTTCTGTACATAACGCCACTTAATTCATTTTAGACACACTTCTCACGTCATCGGGAATATCTGAGTCCAGAAACACCCGGTAGAACCAGAGAAAGTCGGCTTTCTCATCAGCCACCGCTATAGCCGCCATGTGAATTAAGCCACTGTGGTACATGCGCATTCCCGGTAAGGAGCTTCGCCTTCAGTCAAGCGTGAAGTAAGAAACATCGTGTGCTTTGATGCACTTCTTGTCATGTAATATCATCGGAGCAAATCAATTTCTCAGAAGAGACGGGAGACTTGTTCCGTCCCGCCTCTCCTGCGATAGAGCCGTGCATTAACGTGTGCCGGCGGCTGAGGGCAGTGCCGCACGTGCTATGCGTGCCGTCTCGGAGTGCGCCACGGGTGGCGGTGTATGTCACCTCCGCCGTCGGTGACCGGGCGGCGGTGTGTGTGACCTCCACCGTCGGTGACCGGGCGGCGGTGTGTGCCACCTCCGCCGTTGGTGACCGGGCGGCGGTGTATGTCACCTCCACCGTCGGTGACCGGGCGGCGGTGTGTGTGACCTCCGCCGTCAGTGACTAGGCGGCGATGGGTGTCAACCCCGCCGTCGGTGACCAGGCGGTGTATGTCACCTCCGCCGTCGGTGACCGGGCGGCGGTGTGTGTGACCTCCACCGTCGGTGACCGGGCGGCGGTGTGTGCCACCTCCGCCGTTGGTGACCGGGCGGCGGTGTATGTCACCTCCGCCGTCGGTGACCGGGCGGCGGTGTATGTCGCCTCCGCCGTCGGTGACCGGGCGGCGGTGTATGTGACCTCCACCGTCGGTGACCAGGCGGTGTATGTCACCTCCGCCGTCGGTGACCGGGCGGCTGTGTGTGTCACCTCCGCCGTCAGTGACTAGGCGGCGATGGGTGTCAACCCCGCCGTCGGTGACCGGGCGGCGGTGTGTGTCACCTCCGCCGTCGGTGACCGGGCGGCGGTGTGTGTGACCTCCGCCGTTGGTGACCGGGCGATGGGTGTCAACCCCGCCGTCGGTGACCGGGCGGTGGTGTATGTCACCTCCGCCGTTGGTGACCGGGCGGCGGTGTGTGTGACCTCCGCCGTCAGTGACTAGGCGGCGATGCGTGTCACCTCCGCCGTCGGTGACCGGGCGGCGGTATATGTGTCGCCAGGGGAGCCGGCAGTCACAGCTCGCCTGCGGAAAGTGCTATGGCAGCTGGCCAGCGAGCGCTCGCGCCGCCGTAGCTGCCAGCGCCGCGCCACCCAGCTCCAGGTCGGACCACTATACCCTGACTGCTACAAGCAATGTCACATAATTCCTCCAACACGTATCCCTACATCGCGGTGGAAATCACGATTGGCTGCACAGGATCTTCAAATCTCGCCAGTATGTGCTAGAATGGCAGTCAGGAAGTTCCAACATGCGTAGTTCTGTCTCAAACTATTTCAGAAACAACTGACGGGAGACCTGACGGTTGGTTTACAACCGGCCCCCCTCGTCATATCAATATAATGTCTGGGTCTTATGCTGCTAAAAGTACGCATGGTAAATAACCTGTGTAGCTGCCAAGTTTGATGTTTACTCATAGACTGGAGGCTGTGGCTCAGGTTGTGTGCATTGGCACTGTCATGTCCGGTACGTTGGAAAAACTCTGATTGTATCATGCCTTTGCATTTGGCGATATTTAACACATTCCATACATGACTGCACACAATGTATGTTGAAATACCCAACTGTCATTGACATTGGATGTCTTTCCCACTTCCCTTGTTGTACAAACCCTGTGAGCGTGAATGTATTACACCCGTACCATTGACAGATATCTAGACTACAACCTGTGTTAGACAAAGTCGCGAATGTTTATCTACCACACTCATGTCATTCGGTTGTGTTCCGGTATGAATGTACCCTGGCCTGACGACACTCCACTGATGAGGTCTGTGTGTGCCCCCTGACATATCCCCGCTCCACTGACGGGGTATGTGTGTGTCCCCTAACCTTTCCCCGCTCCACTGACGGGGTCTGTGCGTGCGTGCGTGCGTGCGTGCGTGCGTGCGTGCGTGCGTGCGTGCGTGCGTGTGTGTGTGTGTCCCGGACCTATCCCCGCTCCGCTGACTGTGTATTGTGTATTGTGCTCTGTGTATTGTCTCCTGACCTGTCCCCGCTCCACTGACTGGATCTGTGTGTTCCCTGACCTGTCTCCGCTCCACTGACGGGGTCTCTGTGTGTGTGTCTCCCGACCTGTCCCCGCTCCACTGACTGGATCTGTGTGTCCCCTGACCTATCCCTGTTCCACTGACGAGGTCTGTGTGTGTCCTCTGACCTGTCCCCGCTCCACTGACGAGGCCTGTGTGTGTGTCCCCTGACATATCCCTGCTCCACTGACGGGGTCTGTGTGTGTGTGTCCTCTGACCTGTCCCCGCTCCACTGACGGGGTCTGTGTGTGTGTCCCCTGACATATTCCCGCTCCACTGACTGGGTCTGTGTGTGTGTCCTCTGACCTGTCCCCGCTCCACTGACGGGGTCTGTGTGTGTGTCCCCTGACATATTCCCGCTCCACTGACGGGGTCTGTGTGTGTGTCCTCTGACCTGTCCCCGCTCCACTGACGGGGTCTGTGTATGTGTGTGTCCTCTGACCTGTCCCCGCTCCACTGACTGGATCTGTGTGTGTGCCCTCTGACCCGTCCCCGCTCCTCTGACGGGGCCTGCGGCGGGCAGACGGAGCTGGCTGAGTCGCGCGCCGGCCGGCTGACGGCGGCTGATCAGTTGGCGGAGCGCTCGGCGGCTGCTCACCGGCTGCAGCTGACCGTGGACCGGCAGGCGGAGCTGATCCGCCAGCTGGAGGTGCGTCCGGCCCGTTGGTACTACCGTCGCGTGGCCACTGGGCTCGGCACACCACTGATGTCTTACGGAAGTGCGCTTTCACCGTGCTATAACCGAATTTAGATAGAGATTTCTTCCCTGAAACCGTTACGTTGTCGTGTCGCGGGACGAAGATCATCGTACTCTGCATGAGCATGCGACTGTTATATAGCCTAATGTCCATCCTCGTGTGTTGGTGCTCGCGTTTTGGCCGACCAAATACTTCCGCAATGTTGGATATTTGACCTGGGGTCCTAAAGTGTGCATTGTGCGATCGTCGTATCAGCGCAGCTGTTGCGTCAATTGCTTGCGGCTGCCTACATTCCATCGAGTTCACGGGCGTGGGCAAAAAGACCGCCATTCTTTGAAGACACAGTCGCGCTGCGTGCGGTATGCTTGTTAAGTGAACCTGACAGCTTTATGCCCGCTGCCGTTAGCCGCTAATTGGCACACACCCATGTCCGGAGTTGCCTAGCTGAATATCGCCTGTTGTCGGGCAGGTGGGCGCCGCCTCCGACCAGGAGCGGCACCAGGAGGCGGCCAGCTCTCGTCAGGAGCTGCTACAGCTGACCAGGGAGGCCGAGGCCAGGATCGGCCAGGTTCGGGCGGAGGTCGACGAGAGGGTGGCAGCCGCCCGCGCCGAGGTCGAGCAGCGCTGCCAGCAGAAGATGGACACCCAGCTGGCCGAGGCACGAACGGAAGCTGAAGCCAAGGCGGTGGCCGCCTGCGCCCAGGTGGAGCAGCAGTGTGTGAAGAGGGCAGAGACCCAGCTGGCTGAAGCACGATCGGAGGCTGAGGCCAAGGCCAAGGCCGCACGCGCTGAGATGGAGGAGCAGTGGCAGAAGAGGATGACAACTCAGCTAGCCGAAGCACGAGCAGAGGCTGAAGCCAGAGCGACGGTCGCTAAAAGAGACGCAGAGCAGCAGTGTCAGGAGCGGACCGGTGGACAGCTGACCGAGACGCGTGCTGAGGTGGAGGCGGCGAGGAGGGAGGTGGAGGAACACTGGCGGAAAACGATGGGAAGCCGGCTGGCTGAGGCACGGGCCGAGGCCGAGGCAGAGGTGGTAGCCGTCAGGAAGGAGGAGGAGCACCGCTGGCAGAGCAAGCTGGAAGGCCGTTTGTCGGAGGAAGGTCATACGGTAGAAGCGAGGATGGCGGCAGCAAGGAAAGAGGTGGAGGAGCAGTGGCAGAAAAAGATGGAGACCCAGCTGGCTGAGGCTCTTGCTGGTGCTGATGAGAAGGTAGCGGCCGCGAGGAGGGAGGTGGAGGAGCAGTGGCAGCACAGGGCTGACAAACAACTGTCAGAGGCTCGCGATGAGGCAGAGAAGCGGATGGTCACTGCCAGAAAGGATGTAGAGGAGGAATGGAAGAGGAAGCTGCAAGTCCAGCTGACCAAGGCGGAGGCGAGGGTGCAGTCGGTCAGGAGGGAGATGGAGGAGGCGAGTCGCCGAGTTACACCTGTGAGTGAGTCTAACGTGGAGTCGCAGCTGGCAGCGTTGCGAGATAAGCTAGAAGCGGAACACCGGCAGAGGGTTCAGCGTCAGGTGGCTGAGGATGAAGAGCTGGTGATGACAGTTCAAAGAGAGCTGGAGGAAGAGCGCGAGAAAAACACCAGGGTTCAGCAGGAGGCGGAAAAACGGATGGAGGAAATGCGAAGGGAGATGGAGGAAGATTACACGAAGAAGCTGGAAAGCCAGTCGGCAGAATCAGAGCAAAGGGCGGTGGCATTACGAGCGGTGATTGAGGAAGAAAAGCGAAGGAACGCCGAAGGGCAGGTGGTCGACAAAGACAAGCAAAGGGCAGCATGGCGTAAGGAGCTGCAAGAAGAATACCAGAGCACACTAGAATGTCATTCGACCCAAACTGACGAGCTGGAGGCGGCCGCTGATTACGAGCGGCGTCTGTCGGAGGCGCGGGCGGAGGCCGAGTCGCGGCTGGCGGCCGTCAGGGGACAGTTGGAGGCCGAGTATCAGAAGAGGACCGAGTCGCGCATCGGCGAGGTGCGGGCCGAGGTGGACGTGAAGATCGCGCAAACGCTGGCGAAGGCTGAGGCGACCCTCAGCCGGCTGAAGGACAACATGGAGGCAGAGTACGGCCGGAAGGCGGCCGCCATGTCGGCCCGGCTCGAGGCGGAGGCGGACACCCAGGTGCGCGCGGTGAAGGAGCAGCTGCAGGCGCAGCACAAAGACGAGCTGAACGCCCGGGAAGCGCGGCTGGCGAAGGAGATGGAGAAAGTGAGACGCGAGTCCGAGGAGAAGATCCACGAAGGCCTTGAGAGGTGCAGAGAGGCGGAGGCTGAAGTAAGCCGGCTGGTCGAGGCAAAACAGGAGGCGACACTGAAGCTTGCCGAAGCCCAGCTGGAACTGGAGGCCAGCCAGAGCAGGCCTGTCGTGGAGCATGTGTCTACCGCGGAGAAACCGAGCTCGCCGCTCGAGCTATGCCCGGACACTACGGGAGCTGACACAAACGCAGAGGTCCTGGCGAGGGTGACGTCCGAGTACGAGCTTCAGGTGGCGGAGATACGAGCTGATCTGCTGCGTGTGCAAACGGTCTTTGAAGAAGAGAAGCGGGCAGCTGAGGAGGAGAGGGTAAACCGTTTACTCTTCTCAATTATTTCACGTGTATGTGGCATCAGATGGTTTATTTAGCTTCACGCGTGTCGATCTTGGCGCGCCGCAAAGGAAATTATGTACTTGAAGGTGACACTTGTTGACTGATGTCGCTTTGCTTCTTACCACTAGCGTTTTTTTCCCACCACTTCTCATGAACTCACGTATCGATGCACGGGTCTTTGGTTTACTATGGAATGATTTGATGCGGGTAACCATGCACTCAGCGCCATTGCCATCTGGTGTCTTCTGTACATAACTAGGACCACCTGGCCACCGTCTCACATCGGCCTTACCTGTGATGACCAGTGACCGGCCGTCCGCTTTCGTCGCCAGCTGTGTCACGCTCGTCAGACGGCTGAGAGCGAGGCGGCGCTGATCCGGCTCCGGGCCGAGGCTGGCCAGCAGGCGGCCCGGCTGGCCACGCTCAGCGCCCAGCTGGTCTCAGCGGAGTCCGGCCAGCAGGCGGCCGAGGCGGCGCTGTCCGGGCTCCGGACCGAGGCCGGCCAGCAGGCGGCCAAGGTGGCTGCGTTCACGGCCCAGCTGGTCTCAGCGGAGTCCGGCCAGCTGGCGGCCGAGGCGGCGCTGTCCGGGCTTCACGCCGAGCTGATCAACGAGAGGCGCAGGTGGGTGGCGCGTGCGTCGCACAGAGACTCGGGGGGGGGAGGGGGGGGGGGGGGCTGAGAGCAGTGCTCGAAGGTCCTCGCTCCCCGCCATCCGGGTGACTGGCAGACCAACTGCCGGGTGACTGGCAGACTGGTGGCCACTAACAGCAACTCCCGTGGACGGCGGGCGAAGCGCAGCCCACCGGGTGGGCGTGTGTTCCGCTGGGTAGGCGGCGTTCGGTGGTGGTGGGAGGTGGCTTGCGCGATTTACACGACTTGCGGCACCGACAAGGATATTGGAGGTGAAGTTCACAGATATTTCCCAACACCGAACCCCCCGAGCTTGGGTTTGTGGGACAGCGTAGCTGTGCTATAGGGCCAGGAAGCTTTTCGATTGAACAAATGGCCGGTTGTTTGGATGACTGATGCTATTCACTGCCCTCGTGCAGGTGGTCCTTTTGCTGTGGTCGCCGTTGCTAGCGTGTGTCGTGTTTCAGGGCCCGCGAGCGAGAGGAGCAGCTGACTGCCTCCCGTCTAGAGCAGAGCCCTGTGCCGACCAATCCGTTGGTCCTCCTGGCGGGTCCCCCCAGCTCTGTCCCGCATGCAGGCGAACAGCAGCCGCCGCCGGACCATCACGAGCCACCTCATCCTGGTCTGGAGCCGCGCCAGGCCGCGCCCACGGCAAGACCGGAACCCCACAACTCTCCTGTCGAATACCAGAACGAGTCGCCACCGGCTCAACGGCAGATACAGGCAGTCAGAAATAACAACTTAATTGAAGCAGACGGCGCAGATTCCACGAAAGATCTTGGAGCTGCGTGTTCGAAATGCCAACACGTCGACCTGGGCTTACAAGCAAGAGCCACAGGACTGGGCACTGCGGTAGCTCGGGGGACCCACAATATCGCGACCGGCTCGACTGGAATGGGCGACCGTGGCGAACCACTGACTGAAGTCGGCGTCCAGACGTCTGAAGACCCTGACTCGGGGCGGGTCGCTGCCCTGAACTTGGAGCTGGAAGACAGTCGGAGGGCCTGTCAGGAGACGCGACAGCTGCTGGAGGAACTGCGTTGTGAGAGCAGTGACGCGGCTAAGCTGAAGCAAGACCTGGCTGAGAGCTGCGAGCTCATCGTCCAGCTGACAAAGACGGTGCAGGAGATGCAGCAGCAGCAGCAGCCGACGCTCTGCCCGGCCCAGGCACGGCAGCAGGCGGTCCGTGACACACCATCAGATGGCGGCTCCTCTGACGGCGGCCCGGACCGCCGGGCCGAGCTGTCCCGGCTGAGAGGGGAGCTGGAGGAGAGCCGGGCGCTGGCGGAGCAGCTGCAGGGGGCGCTCTCAGAGGCCGAGCACCGGGCGGCCCGACAGCAGGACCAGCTGCGGGGCCGCGTGCAGGAGCTCACCTTCAGCCTGGCTCGGCTCGAGCTCAGCGGTCAGCTGATGAAGTCCCCCGCCGCCGCCGACGGGGACGCGGACGCCGGTGGTCCGGACAGCGGTACGTTGGCAGACCGGCGTCGGCGGGCGGCGCCGGAGGTCGGTGGGCCGGCCGGCCGGGCGGTGCCGTCAGAAGCGAGGCCGGGACGGCCGCGGGCCCGCTGCGCCCGCCAGGTGTTCCCTCCGGAGCAGCCCGCTGCGAGCGCCACCTTCCCCGACTGGCGGGTGGGCGCAGCCGCGGAGCAGGAGGGGGTGGCGCCGCGCCGCCGGTCCCGCTCGGAGACGGACGGCGAGGCGGCATCGGACAGCCAGACCACCACGTCGGAGCTCTGCTCCGGTGTAGGACCCGCGCCGGCCCGGCCCGGCCGCCGGCGCCAGGCCGAGCACGGCCGACTGCGACAGCTGGAGGCCGCCTACGCCGAGTCGTCGCGGCGCCTGGCGGCCGAGTCTGAACGCTCGGGTCGGCTGGAGCGGCACGCCGCCGCGCTCAAGACCAAGTACCGACAGATGCGCCGCCAGCTGGAGGCACCCTCGGCGGACGGCGGCTCAGGCGGCCGGGAGCGCGAGCTGCAGGCGCAGCTGGACCGGCTGCAGCGCAGCATGCGCCAGGAGCAGGAGCGGCGCGCGCTACTGGAGCTGGAGCTAGAGCAGCTGCGCGCCGGCGGCGACGCCTCGGGCCGCGCGCTGGCGCAACAGGTGGAGCGGACGCTGGCCGAGCTGCGGCGCCGCGCGCTCGACGACACCACCTCGGGGACCATGATGGCTGAGACGGACGTCAGGCGGATCATTGAGAATGAGGTCAGCGGCCGTGCCAGAAACTTAGCGTTGTCTTAGGGCTGTCTGTCCCTATTTTCAACGCCGCATGTTCCACGTTCTAACACCTGGATTCCAAATACTGGTTTTTACTTCCCTTTGATGAGAAAGCAACTGATCGATGGACTGCAGTGAACGTGCATGGAGCTCGCCGCATTAACGTTAACGTTACACGTGGATATGATTCTGAGGTCTTTATTGCTGGATGTTTTCCTCAACACGTATATGAGTTGTGCAAAATTAAATATGCCAGACTATTCCTTCCCATTGTTGCGTTGTCGGAAGCCACTGAAGTGGCGGGCATCTCAGACACAGCATACCTTTCAAGCTCACGACATTGCCGACCCACGACGGGAACTAGGGGTGTGAGCCAGCTTCGTACCAATCTCGGCGTTGTCGTCGTCTGTCCGGAGGACTGCCGCCTTCCGCTGCCCTGCCTGTGATGTGTCTCTCAGGCGCGCGCGTTCTGCAGTTCGGCGGCGAGGCGCGCCGGCGGGAGGAGCTGGCCGACGAGCTGACGGCCACGCGCCGCCTGCTGATGGACCAGCTGGTGCGGCTGGCCGCTACCGTCTCAGGTCAGACGGCGACCCCGGTGACCCCTCGGCCTGACGGGTCACGGGGTCAGGGGCCGACTGGGCCAGCCCGGAGGCGGCGGTGTGCCACCCAGATCCAGCGGGAGCTGGCCGCCGTGCCGTGCACCTTCTTTCTGCATCTCGTCACGACCACAACGCACGACCTCTCGCTGTATGACTGGGCAGCCGGGACAACTTCAGTGCATTGCGCCCGCTGAAGACACAATGTTTTAGTTACCTTCGTCTTATGTACAGACGTTCTGTGTCCCTCACTGGTGGTATTGCCTATGTCTAAAACAAAATTTTCCGGACATTTACAAGAGAATGAGCTTAGGTGTCCAAAAGCAATGCGCCAGATAGGAACCAGGTGCTGCAACTTGCCACGTATGTGGCTCAATAAAAAGCAAGTTGATATTTGCTGAGCCCGTCCTTTACAAGACCAGATGGTGATCACTACTTTCTGGACATAACATGGAGGATACCGCCTAATATAACTGGCACATCACCTTTATTAACTTTTCCTGTTCCCAGTGTTTTGTCGATTCATATGTGCCTGTCACTTGATAACATACGAGGGGCGTGACCTTTCCTGTGATCCCGCGCTACTCGTGACCGATGGCAGCCGATTTACAGCTCGGGATAAGAAGGAGGAGACGTTCCTGCAGCAGTGTGAACAGGTCCAGGTGCTCTCGACGCCCTCCAGCAGGCGACCGGTGGCGCCGCCCTGCGTCGAACCACTCGAAACACAACGGTATGTCCGGCCGGCCGGCGAAGTTTGAGAACGCTTGTAATGCTGAGCGAAGCTAACGTCGTGTTTGGTTGTCGGAGCTTTCATGGCTTGGCTGCAAAACTTTGATGGCCAGACAAATCTGTCTCTGAAAAGGACATGCAGCTTGGTCGGATGCACAACACGTCTGTTCGTGCTTTGCAGCTGTGTGAACCCTTACATTTGCGTCGGCACGGCAGCTATCGAATCTTGATTCAATGCGTCTCCCTGTAGCGTGCAGCGTAATTTGAATTCGTGTGAACTTTGTGATATTCACTGCCGACTTGTTTACCCCCTTTCCTCTCTGTTGCGTCACATCAACCGGTTCGCATTGTCCAGCAACACTCCAAACACCCGAAGCATGTAATCTGTTCAGGAAGACCCTTCGCATGCATCTGAAGTGTATGTCTTTCTTTGCCTCCCGCCGTGCATCACACGCTTCGGCGTTGACCGGTTCCGTTAGTATGTGACATGGCCGCGTGGCGGCGCCAGCAGCGCCGTGCCGCTGCTGCCGGAGCTGCGGCGGGCGCCGCCGCTGCCCGACTTCCAGGCGATGGTGGCCGGCGGCCGGCCGGGCTCTGGCGGTCGGCCGGCGCCGGCCCGCTCGCCAACGGCGGGCCTGGCGCACCGTATCCGCCACGAGCTCGACCAGAGCATCCGCCGCCACCTGGCCGACGACACCGGTACGTGCGCCGGAGAGGCGGGCTGGGCCGGGCCGGGGAACGACGCGGCACTGGGGGGTCACTGCCGCCCGACTGGTGTGCTGGGAGTGATGCGCAGTGACGACTGATGCGGATTGACGGCCGATGGGTTTACTCTGTGTTACATGCTAACTTTTATATTCTTACAGCTTGCGTACTCTGTCTTCGTGTTTTCCATGAGTTTGGCATTTATTTTTCAGACTGGCGGAACTGGGGCAGCGGCGGGTCGCTGGGTTCGGTGACCCCGAGGTCACCCAGCACGGTCCAGCTTAGCGGGGATGCTGTGGACAGATCCAAAAAAGACTACCTGAACACAGTGGTCAATCTGTATAGCATCTAAGCCTGCCGATCCACCAGACTCGCTTAATGCACGTCGGAGTCTAAGAACTATCCCGTCATCGAGTCAGCGAGAGAAGCGAGCTACTCCAGTAATCGAAAATATTAAACCGCTCTAGTCATTGAGGATTCTAGTCACCGAGGACACCCTGTACGCGTGTACGCGTGTACACGCGATCGATCGCGGCAAGGAGCCCTCAAAGCCGCTGCACTGTACTGCTGGACGCGAGGCCCTCACCCTCAGGCTACTGACCCACTACGCTTGCCGACAAGAATCTCCTATCACACCGCTCGGTTAGAGTTTCCGGCTGCTTGGATCAGGACTGTGTCCGGCCCGGGACCGGAGAGAGCTCTTGGGATCAGGACTGTGTCCGGCCCGGGACCGCAGAGGACTCTTGGATGGAGACTGTCCGTTCCGGGACCGGAGAGGACTCTTGGATCAGGACTGTGTCCGGTCCGGGACTGGAGAGGACTCTTGGATCAGGACTGTGTCCGGTCTGGGACCGGAGAGGACTCTTTGATCAGGACTGTCCGGTCTGGCGCCGGAGAGGACTCTTGACTCTACAGCCTCCCTGCGCGGAGTCAAACAAGATCGACCTGGCCGTGCACAGACCGAAAGGTAACCCGGTTGCCGAACAGACCGTCGCTGCGTAAGCCACCCGGAACGTTTGGGAAAGCTGCAGCGTGCTGCGATTGAAGAACGCTGACCAGGACAAGGCGGCCAGATGTAGAAGTCACGAGGCGATCGGTGTGTGGCTGTTGCGGTGCTGTGTCCGTGGCTGGCGTGCGTCAGCAGCGGAGCGATCGTCGCGCGACTCTGGCTGGAGGTGTGCGAGCGTTCCGCCCGTCTCCTGACGAGCCCCGTCCAGTACGTGTCGGACCGGTGTCTGTGTCGTCGCGCGACGCTGGCTGGAGGTGTGCGAGCGTTCCGCGGATCTGCTGGCGAGCCCTGTCCAGTACGTGTCGGGCCGGTGTCTGTGTCGTCGCGCGACGCTGGCTGGAGGTGCGCGAGCGTTCCGCGGATCTGCTGGCGAGCCCTGTCCAGTACGTGTCGGGCCGGTGTCTGTGTCGTCGCGCGACGCTGGCTGGAGGTGCGCGAGCGTTCCGCCCGTCTCCTGACGAGCCCTGTCCACTACGTGTCGGGCTGATGTCTCCGTGGCGCCCAGTCCAAGCACAGAGGCCGACTCGGTGGCGAGGTTGCGCCGCCGCTTAACGAGCTGCGAGCTTAAGTCGGATCCGTCCCGTCCCCGGTGCGGTGATCACAGAGGGGTTTACTGTCCACCATCGTATCGCCGAGTACCGCACCAGTGCACCGTGTCGCCGAGTGCCGCACCAGTGCACCGTGTTAGGTGTTGTACCGCACGCCACCTGTCGCGCCCGCCACCCGACGGGCCCGGCCCGGCCCTGCCTGCGAGGTTCTGACGTGCAGCCCGCACTGGTGCGCCGCGCCGGCGGAGCCTGCCGACGGTGGTCACGTGCCAGAGTTGACGGAAGAATGAGCCGAGACTCGGCGTGCTGTCTGTGCGACCCTGAACTTATGCAAAACGGGCGCTTGTCGATGTCCTGGGACCAAATGGAGTACCTGACCATGTGGGGCTAGTCACGCATCCTGCTTTTATCGTTTATGTAAATGACGCGTTCTCGTTCTGTCTTTCACGCGTTGTGTGGGGACCCGTGCGGCCTTGAGTGCTGTCATCGCCGGTTCGAATTTGTTCGGTAAACGTGCGGTGCTTGTCGCTGCTCTTGGTCGCCTCACTCCGTGCCGTCCATACACCATTGCCACAAAATACACGTTGATAAACATATTTTGTGCACAAAAGGGTACACGAGTACCAATAACAAAGTGATGCCACATGATAGTGGGACGCATGATACACGTCTCATAAATACCATGCTGGAAGTAAACATCAGACACGTGAATGACAAGCAAATTACGTTCCGCGAACAATGCGTGTTAAGTACAATGGCGCATGCTGCCTGGAGGGCCAAAGAGTTGCCAAAGCCAGACCATTTCGCATTCCCTGGCAGAGGCGACCGGTGGCGGCGCGCAAGCGGAAACCGTTCCTACGGGCGCGGAACCCCCTGACTAGTCACCGCCTCTCCGCAACATCACAGCCTCGCTTAACAGCAGACCCGGCGGGCCGCGGCTCCGGGCAGTGCCGTGGCGTCATCGCCCCCTTCTCCGGGCAGTGCCGCGGCGTCATCGCCCCCCTCCCCGGGCAGTGCCGCGGCGTCACCGCCCCCTCCTCCGGGCAGTGCCGCGGCGTTATCGTCCCCCTCCCCGGGCAGTGCCGCGGCGTCATCGATCCCCTCCCCGGGCAGTGTCGCGGCGTCATCGATCCCCTCCCCGAG